TATATATATATATATATATATATATATATATATATATATATATATATATATATAACAATATGTAAATTTTAAAGTATTTGTTGAATAAAAAAGAATTTGAATTTTCAAAATTTGAAATGAGCAGAATTTATTTCAGAAATACGTGACCCTTTTGTATTACGTGTCAGTCCAGATCTCGAATTTCATGCCAGATGTCTGAAGGTTAGCTTAACCGTTATACCTTAATTTCCGTAAATTTTACCTTTAATCCAATTCAATTAGACAGATTGATTGCAGTGAGAATAATTTAAAATTTACCTAAGCGGATAAACTGAAGTACCAATACTTGAAAATATAATAATACTAATTCTTGCTCAAGCATAATCTCATCATTAACAATAGATGTAACAAATGTTAAGGAATAGCTTTTGCGAGTTAATTACGTAACACTTTCAAGTGCAGTTAATCTGCAGGAAGGTGAAAGATGGCACTTGTCATACTTTTAGGTCACATTCTATTACATCAGCTTGTTGTTAAACGATTTGCTGTTCTTCACCTTTTATTTACACAACGATTAATTTAATGTATCAACCGCTTGTTTGCTAATTATGCTTAAAGAGATGGTTGCATGAAATTAGGTGAAATTTCTAAGGTTAAGTATTGTTGGCTTCAAAATTAGATGCTGATTGTAATTTCTAGAAAAATTCAGCAAGTTAATGTGAAAATAAATTCAAAAAAATGAATATAAAAGTTCAATAACATCAAACAAACTCAATTAAAAACCAAAAAGAAGTAAATTCATCTATTTGAATCATTTTTGTTGAGATGATAAATTCAAGAAGATTTAATTAAGAGATGTAGCTTCTTGAAATTCGAAAACTTTCCGATCCCATTCTCGTTTGGGAATGTTCTATTCATCTTTAAATATATCAGATATTGAGTTGTCTAAATATCCATTGATGCGATGATTATGTGTGGAGGCAAATCTTCTGGATACCACTATAAAATAAATCATTGATGCGATGTGCGTGTTCAGTTTTAATTCTTCTATCAAATGCCCTTGATTCCACGACCTGTCCTGTCCATTGACCCGCCATTAACCATTAATCTTCCGCTTCACCTGCATTAACTACCGCTTGGTGACAATCCCCATATGAATATGTTTTAATTCGATTTAGTTGTGCAAATTTCGAAACGAAAAAAAAACACAACCTAAGCAACAAAAGTTTTTTGAGTAAAGAAGGAATGAGAGTTGAAATTTTTAGCTAAAAACAACCAATGAGATAGATAGCTTTATAAGAGTATGAAATTATCACTGAGAGGATTAATTACAAAGAAAAAATCGGAAATGTCTCGTAACATTGTCCACAACAAATTCTTAAAAGACAACTTTGCTTAAGAATTATTTTAACTGAAAAAATTTTCACTTATCCTTATTCGTTGGGACAATCTTCTTCTAACTTACCATATTGGGAATTACCGTAATCCTCGATGGGGATACATTTGTGATGGTTGTTCCTCCCAAAGACGCACATTGCTTCAAAGTCAGTATGGAGAAAAGAGATAAACAGGTTTTTGAAAAGGGGTTGGAAGAGGGAGTTTGATGAAAAAGAGTGGATGACTGATCGACTCTGAAATTATTAAATTATCAGACTGGGAGTGTTACTTCATCAAATTCTGCTGTAATTTTTGGTTTAAATGCTGACAAACAAAATAAAAATTTATTCACAAATGCGATATCAAATAGACTCATTTCAAATTTTTCACTTCTTATTAAAATAAAATGCAATGAGAAATTACAATGCATGCAGTTGACATGCAATTAATAGAAGCAAATTAACAAAACAAGTTAAAACAAATAAAATAATCTTACAAATAGATAAGCAATTCGCAAACAATTATGAAACAAATGGATTAGACATTAAACGATCATATTGTAGGCGTAATTGTTATATAGGCGCAAACGTCGTTGAATCAAAAAAAAATCAATTTAGTAAACTTGCAAAATGTGTTGCTATTATTGCTAATTTTAGTTATAAATCAGTCGTTGGATAAATTAAGCAAATTGTTGCAGTGTGAACAATGTGAATGTTATTTGGATGAAAGTTGTACAGCGTATATTCGGAACAATAAACCATACTGTAAGGAGGATTATATCAGGTTGGTAATCTTTGGTCGCCATCATTGAAGTTTTCTTTTTCTTTTTTTGAATGAAAACAATATCAAACTTGCTCTGCTTTCTTCATATTTAGAGTTAATTGCATGAAATTAATTCAGAGTACTATGTTACATCAATTTATTAACCTCAACTTATTATTAAAATCATAAATTCAACCACTACTATTATTATTATTATTATTATTATTATTATTATTATTATTATTATTATTATTATTATTATTATTATTATTATTATTATTATTATTATTATTATTATTATTATTATTATT